TCATTTTAAAGCCGATATTCTGTGGGGTCGGGGGCTCGGATCCTTGTCACCTTTTTCATACCTGATGACTTTGCCTCCCTGACTGCAGTTGCTTCAGCGTGTAGAAGCTAGTAAGCCTACTATTTGATTTGTTTTAGATAGGCACAACATGTTTCATATGCAGACCTTATTTTCCTGTTCCATGTTCAAATAAACCATTTTCAGTGGTCATTTTTTTTTTGGTCATGGAAAATTAGGTAAAGGTCATTGAAAATCATTGGTGAAAAAGCACATTTTTAGCGCCTATTCATACTAAATCAGTTGTCCCTCCCCCTGGTGTATTATGTAGTGTTGGATTCACAGTAGTCTGGTTCCGGTCTTGACTCGGTCTCGCCCTGACTTGGTCTTGTTTTGGTCTTGCTACTCTTCGGTCTTGGTAATGTCTTGGTCTCGGATAAGGGGGTCTCGACTACAAGACTAGAGTCCGGCGCACTTCCTGGGGGCTTGATAATGAAGTAATAGCTGTGATACTATCACCAGTGGTGGCAAACCGTGTCTATCACAACTGGACCTTCTGTAGACACACACACACCCCGATGATCGTGTTTCTTTTAATCATACGAAGCCAGATTAAATTAAATAACTACTTCTCAACCCTTGTACTTTTCTCCAGAATGCCGTTGTTTATTAATGTGGTTCAGCTGCATTTACCGACCGCTGCAGTGCTGCTCGTCCACCGGAGTTTATTCTCCCGTTAACTCACGGCAGAGTTTAGTCTCCCCTTAACTCACGGCAGGGTTTAGTCTCCCGTTAACTCCCGCCTCCGACGTAAGTGTGAAGTATTAGTTATTGGTTCTTGCCGGGCAGCCGAGTGGGGCCAGCTAAGAATCGATTTTCGGTGCTTAGAGCCGGCTCCGCTGCAGTGGAAACCAGAGCTAAATCAGGCTCTAGTGCCCCTTTTTGGTGAAAAAGGGGCATGAGAGTACCCTGGAAGCGAGGGGAGCTCTGAAAGAATATACGCCCATTGGCTACAAATCAATATATGATTGGTTGATTAAACTGTCAATCCAAACGTACGCTCTCCTTCAGTGCAACGGCCAGGGCATTCGATCAAGGATGTAGAATACCTTGTTGAAGGATATTCTACCCAGAGACCCAGAACAAGATCTGATTGGTTGCTTTCTTTTCTAACACAAAACCACTGAAATGTGCAGTGCATGGTCCGAGAAGGACAAACAAATCAACGTAACACTGTAATATTACAGATCAACAACACAGATACCATTCTCATTTATTCATTTTATTTCAATTTTATTCAATTGTATTTATATAATTAAATTGATTTTTAGTTGGTTTTATCTGAGTGTTCCAGGGTATTCTCTGAATACCTTGAAGGCCCTGAGGGTTCACCACTGACTATCACCATTGTTAATGGTCACTTTTACCAATACACTGCTATCCTGATGACCTTTGTTTATTCTTTATTATTATTATTATTCTTTATTATTACTATTATTATTGTACAATTATTGTTTTTATTTGTACTTCTTAGCTGTTGTTTTTCATTTGAGCTCAGCCCTGATGGATTATTTAAAGGGTTGGGTTCTGTTTTTTGTTGTATCTTAAGTGTTAATAACTATGTAAAACTGGGTGAACTAAACTTGTAAAAGTATGATTTGTATTCTTCAATATCACAATAAAAAAATTGCTCCATAAAATAAACATAAATAATGTATATTAAATAATGTATATTAAATACATTAATTAAAGAACAAAAAAGTTATTTATTATAGCTCGTCAAAAGTTGACATTTGCAGACATATATCAACATTTCAGAGGACAGCACTTTTAAAACAGGTTTTAAAACAGTGTGTTGTGTGTATTAGCTTTGGCCTTTTTTACTATATAGATATATTTATTTGATATGTATTGGTTGGTTGATCTATCCATCACTTTACCAACCCTTCGTCATGGCTCTGCCTTTGAGCATTGAACAGCTTATAAATAAGTAAAACAAAAATGAGGTGCATAGTTTTTCTTCAATATGTATAAACATGGGCAATGCCTGATATTAGGCTGTTCATGGATAGTACCAGATTATAAAAGATTGTATTCTGTTTTGTATTGGTGTCATAAGCTGCTTTTCAATACTGAAGCGGTATAGATATAGCCTTACATGATACAGATACATAGAGAGGAACATCTCTTCTTTTGGCACGTTTTCCTTTCTCTGCCTTCTGTCTGTGTTAACGCCTTGTGTGTATGAGCCATCCTTTTGTCTATTCTAATAGTTATCATTACATTTCTTTCATGAAACTTGGATTGGCTTAGTTGTGGCTTTGAAAATAGCATTCTTAGGCTGCCATCTAGTGACCAAAGCTGTGCACACATTAAAGGTAAACATTGAAAAAGAACTTGTCAAAACGCCATAACACAGAGAGGATCAATTACAAATCTAAAATCCAAAAGTTAAGCTTTTGAAATCTGAGCCTCAGGTTGCATGTTGGTGAATTGCAATGTTTGCTGTCCATTACAGTTGAACTTGGATCTGAAAGCGAGGCCAATGAGTGGAAGCACAGGCACAGCGCGATAAGAGCGGAAAGAAGCCTGTTGTTTTAGTGTGACCCAGCCTCACAGCTCGCTTGGATTCAGACCAAGCCGCAGACTTTACCCTATCCACAAATAAAAAACTTGCAATTTGACGGTACATTTGGTAGCACTTTTTGCAACGTGATCAATATAAGACACACATGTCTATAGGCATGAGCCAAGGTTCACTGAGAGTGGACCTGTTGCCTCTGCCACACACAACAACAATATCACTACTGTACTTTTACTACTGCTACCTCTAATAATACTAACACTACAACTGCTATTACTACTGTTTGTATGTTAACTACATCTTCATCCAGGGCTGCAGACAACACTCGACAGAAGCCGAGTCAAAAGTAAATGCACTGCATCAATATAGTGCTTTTCTTTGTGACCCTCAGAGAGCTTTGCATATACAAGTCAGTATTCACTCATTCACACACATCCATACAGAGGCACAGTGCAAGACCGAGTACAGCTCTGTCACGAGAACCATTTCCCCCGGGGATTATTAAAGTATTTATGTGTGTCACTGCAGATAGTTCACTACTACTGCATTGTTTCATTATAGTCATTGATACTACTGGTACTGATTTATAACCGTGTACTGCTACTACTACTATGACTACTGCTACTATTACTGCTACTACTACTATGACTACTGCTACTATTACTGCTACTACTACTATGACTACTGCTACTATTACTGCTACTACTACTATGACTACTGCTACTATTACTGCTACTACTACTATGACTACTGCTACTATTACTGCTACTACTACTATGACTACTGCTACTATTACTACTACTACTACTACTATGACTACTGCTACTACTACTGCTACTACTACTATGACTACTGCTACTACTACTGCTACTACTACTGCTACTACTACTATGACTACTGCTACTACTACTGCTACTACTACTATGACTACTGCTACTATTACTGCTACTACTACTATGACTACTGCTACTACTACTACTATGACTACTGCTACTACTACTGCTACTACTACTATGACTACTGCTACTATTACTACTACTACTACTATGACTACTGCTACTACTACTACTACTGCTACTACTATGACTACTGCTACTACTACTGCTACTACTACTATGACTACTGCTACTACTACTACTATGACTACTGCTACTACTACTACTACTACTATGACTACTGCTACTATTACTGCTACTACTACTATGACTACTGCTACTACTACTACTACTACTACTATGACTACTGCTACTATTACTGCTACTACTACTATGACTACTGCTACTATTACTGCTACTACTACTATGACTACTGCTACTACTACTGCTACTACTACTATGACTACTGCTACTATTACTACTACTACTACTATGACTACTGCTACTACTATGACTACTGCTACTATTACTGCTACTACTACTATGACTACTGCTACTACTACTGCTACTACTACTATGACTACTGCTACTATTACTACTACTACTACTATGACTACTGCTACTACTACTACTACTGCTACTACTATGACTACTGCTACTACTACTGCTACTGCTACTATTACTGCTACTACTACTATGACTACTGCTACTATTACTACTACTACTACTATGACTACTGCTACTACTACTACTACTGCTACTACTATGACTACTGCTACTACTACTGCTACTACTACTATGACTACTGCTACTATTACTGCTACTACTACTATGACTACTGCTACTATTACTACTACTACTACTACTACTATGACTACTGCTACTACTACTACTACTACTACTAGTATACTAATACATTGGTATTTCCTTTATTTATTAAGGAAGCAAAACCACAATGTAAATCACATTTCCTGTACATCTATTACAAGTACTATAAGTAATAAAAGTGCAAGTACCGATTGGAATGTTAATGCACAGTGTAGCAAATTCAAAGTACTTAAGGTAGCGGGAGCTGATCCACAACTGTGACACATATCTCATCAATATAAACTACAGTCCATCACTGCGCTACTAGTATTAGCAAAAATACATGCTGAGGGACCTGCTTTCATTATGACTAACTATTCGTTTGGTAGCAGTTACCTCTCCTCCCATGAAGTTGTAAAGAGTACACATTTAAATCTGTGGTTAGGTATGTATAGTCGTAGTGAAAAAGGTTTCCTGCCACTTAAGAAAATGTCACGAGTCAAATGTTATACACAAGAAGGAACCCAACAAGTATCTTAGCTATATAACTTGACCGAGTTTTGAATGCAGCGAGGGGCTCGTCCCGGCCAATGAGAGCTGGGATTCAGTTGGATGGTGCAGGGGTGTGTTGTGGTCTGCTTCGTGGAACTGGCTTTGGGGAAGAGGGTTATCTGCTGCTGATAAGGGTCACGTTTAAAAAGCTGTGTGAGGATGAACTCACTTCACACTGACGGATTTGTCAAACCATGCTGCTGCTCGTGGTCTCCGTGTCTCTCACCAATATGTTCTTTGCTGTTGGAGTGGTTTGCGTGCCCCTGCCTGAACAGGGGCCCCCCACCTCGCACCACTGGGGCCCGGTGGTGCGGCTGCGGCACCTGTACGCCGCCCGGCCCGGGCTCCACCTGCTGATCAGCGGGGACGGACAGGTCCACGGCTCGGAGCAGCAGACCCCACACAGTAAGTCCAGCACTTCAGAACACCTGCTGCTGAATCACTGGTGACTGCAGGGGCTTGTGGGAGTTCTCACTGTGATCCACATGTGCCTGCAGGCCTGCTGGAGATCAGTCCGGTGGAACCAGGCTGTGTGGTGATCCGAGGAGTCGCAGCCTCAAAGTATCTCTGCATAGAGCCTGACGGAAGGCTGTACTCAACGGTAAGATTCCCCATGACAGACTGTGTTTATTCATAATGTTAAATATATATATTTGCACAAGTTCATTATTTGGGATCAAATAATTCATTAATTTGTTTATTCATAAAAAGATACTAATGTAAATGAAATGATAAGTGAGGTCAAATATAAATGTGTCTAATTACCACAACAGAGGGAAAATAATAATAAGGCTAAGTATGAACCAATCAGTAATTTAATATGTATCTAACTAGTGTACAATCCTAATGGAAACTGTATTCTATAGTCCCATTTGAAATGTATTATTGTGAAATCTTTGCTTTACTGTAACATGTTACAACTGCAAAACAATGAGCCCAAACTGATGTTTTCTAATTAGAATAACTTTAGAAAGAGCATCATTTAACAGATCTCCACACATTTAACAGAAATGAAATGTGACTTTCAAAAAGAACACACCTTTCACCTCCTGCCAGCCGATATCACATACTGTGATCTATATATTTTCACTGTAAAAGCCACTTCAGCACTTTATAATTTCACTTAAATTGATATTCTACCTTTATGCTCAGGGAAAGCTATACTTTATGTACTTCCAGTTTAAATGCCAACTCTTCCTATTTGAGCTTCTTCACGTGTTCACTGGGTGTTTCAGCAGCATCATGTGTTATCCTCTGTTAGGCTGCTCTACTTCATTCCATGAATGTTGGCTATTTTGACTCAAATAAGATCTAAGATTAGATAGATAGTATTATTGTTCACTATTTACTATTGTTACAAAAGAGTAAACCAACGGTTATCTTTTATTTATTTTTATTCTAAATCCACCGTGTACAGTCTAAAACAGAATTGTCACCATTTGACACGCTGTACCATATTAGATCTTCAGATCATTCTCATCTTTAGTTCTTTGGCAGGTTAAAATAAGACAAACGGTACACAATAAACACATGATGCAGAGTTATACAAAAACAAACACAATGATACATGGTGTCGGGTAAAGTCATGCAGACAATGAGATCAAATCCAAGGTCAGTGATAGAGCAGCTTTTTGAAAAAATGTATCTAAAAAAAATGTGCTTCACCGACTTATTCAAACATTACTGAGGAAATATTACCTGCGACCTGAAGTTTGCTCTTCATGTTGTTAATCTGCTCCGTGTTGAGAAAACACTGCAGGCCAGTCAGTCATTCATTAAAACGGCTGGTTCGTGAACCTTTGTCCGTGTGGTGCAGGGCAGGATGTGTTTGCAAAGTGAAAAGCTGAATGAAAGTCAGCCTTGGCCTCTGACTGGCGCTCTGATGCCAAAGCAAACAGCCGTCGAAGAACTCGCAGCCTGATTCACATCTGTTTTGGGCTTTTTACTCTAACTGCAGCCCCCTCAGCATCCCCCCCTTCCCGCGTCCATTCGCGATGTCTCGCTGTCTCGCAGACCGCACGCAGCAAGCAGGAAATGAACCCAGCTCACACTGTCCGCTCCTCGCAGCAGCGAGCCGCGCAACGTCCCGCCAACACGGCACCCAGACCCCACGCAGCATTCTCATCTGTTTGTCATTACTGGTGTCATTTCCTGGTTGATAACGCCATTGTAACACATAATCACTGATTCACAGAGAGTGAATACACAGACTATACAGAGATGCTGTATGAGAAACCAATGTGAGTTTGGAACATTGAACAATATAAATCTATTCTAGTAGACCTCAACAATGGAATTATGATCAGTGGAAATGGCCATGACATGGGACCTTTAATATAATAAAATATACATGGGTACAAATGTCTAGAAACATTTTAGGGAAATGGTGAATGTTTTATTAATTAACAGTTTAAAAAAATACAAATAAAAGTCCCTTACATTACATATCTTTTGGGGATTTTCACTCTGATGCACAGTTTAAAAAAAATCTTATCTCAGTTGTAGGGGCTGTACAAATATAACTGACTTGTTTTGAGAATATTTATCACATATATTCCTCGAGAGGAAAAGACTCAAGGATTTAAAACCTTAACACCGCTACAGTTTGATTGGAAATGCTAAAACATTTAGCACAAGAAGTGAAGAGTCATAAGAGTCAAGAGTCACCTACAGAGTTACCTGAAATATGTCAATGAGGAGTATCCATCCAAAGATTGCTCACTTAAGCCAATTGAACAATGTATATTAATAGTATAGTAAATAGGTATAAACATTGGGATAACACTAGTGAAATATGTTGAAATGCAAACAAAAGGAAAATTGGATGAAAGTGTGCTTCTAGTATGAGTAAAACAAAGAAATCTATTTTTATTAAAAAAAGCGAGTTTTATATAAAATTGTGATTTCTAACATTATTTATCAGATAAAAAAAAGTGATTTCAATTTACAAGTAACATTCCTAATACATGTAATATTAGTGTTATTGCACGACAGTGGTGTCGTAGTCTGTGTTTTTGTGTTTTTATATCCTTGCACATTGGTGTAATTTCCCAGCTGGGGTGTCATTTATTTCGAGGCTCTAAAAAGCCCAATGGGTTTTCTGCATCTCTGTTTGTCATTTGTTATCTGTTATGTTTGTGTATTATTACATTGTCAAAAAGCATTAAAACCATGCATAGAGAGTCATAGAACACTCTGTAGTATAATTTCAGAACCTTGTGATTAACGTGTGACCGTATGTTCCTCAGCCCACCTACAGCAGGGACTCCTGCACCTTCAGAGAGCAGATCCTGCCTGACGGCTACAGCGTCTACACCTCGGTCACACACGGGGCCCTGCTCAGTCTGGGAACCCCACGACAGAGGAAGCAGGGCCGGGACCGAGGCATGCCGGCTCTGGCTCAGTTCCTCCCCAGGATCAGCAGCCTGGATCAGGTCCCGGACCCTGGACCGGATGTCCCTGAGCAGCTGGAACAGAGGAGGCCGACAGAAGACCCTGTGGATGCCATGGACTTGTTTGGGCAGCTCTCTCAGATCATGCACAGCCCCAGCTTCCACAAGAGATGAGACAGAGTGAAGGGACAGCAGTGAAGGGATTTGTCCTGAGGGATCTTTGTCTGAGAGCATGCACCCCTCCCTGCATGTTGAGGTAGCAGGAAGTGAGGTTCAGCCGGCCTGCACCCAGAGAGGCTGCTGGGACATCCTGCCAGCACCGTCCCGTCAGACCTGCATGAACTGAGCACAGTGTGCTACGTACTAAGTGTCAGGGTCCATTCTGTCACTTTCAGTACACTTCACATAGAGATGTGTTTGAAAAAAGACAAGGTAACATTATCAGAAGAAGGAAGAGTTGCACCTACAGAACGTTGAAAAAGGAAAAGAAGGGCACAGTATTAGAAACACTGTATCATTGTGTAGAGTCACATGAAAAAGCACCATGTGCTCAGACATTTTGCCTATTCTGAATGTTGTACAAAGTGTGTTTTAAGGTGTTCCAACAGGAAGCAGAGATCCTGAGGACCAGGATGTTGGTCAAATTAACTGCAGCTGGTTAGTGAGTTAAAAAGACGAGTACTTTTCCACACCTGACAAAAAGGAATTACGTTCCTGCAGTAATATGTATTTATTTTCAATATTTCAACGTTTGCTTTGAATGTGAATATCTGTGTAGCTTTATTAAAAGAACCATTACATTTTCTGTGGTTGGAATTTTTAATTAGAATGATTTGGAAACAAGTCTTAATATCAATAAAGCACTTGAAGCAGACACCGTGTTGTCAATGATTGTCAAACAATGAAAGCAGAATTTCATAGCCCAGGAGGCTGGGTGGTGTCAGGCCACGCTCAGCAGGCAGTCTCCATCTCCTTGTCCATGCGAACTGCCTGGACGTTGGACTGAGGGTGGGGCCAGAGGAAGTTTACCTTGGCTCCCAGGAGGCTACAACTGTCTACAACGTTACACACAGGGACAGGAGGTAAACTGGGCCCCGCTATTGAACATTTTGGGGGGAGCAGTGAGCTGGGTTGATGCAGAGTAAAGTGAGCTGGGATGTGTGGTTTAACCATGTCTTCGATGTAGGAAGGACCGGATCCATTCACAGCACGGCAAGCAGTGGTGGGAATTAACTAAGTACATTTACTCAGGTAATGTACCTAAGTACAATGTTGGTGTACTTTTACTTTACTTGCGTAATTCCATTTTCTGCTACTTTGTACTTCTACTCCACTACATCTCAGAAGGAAATGTTGTACTTGTAGTTACATTGAACTTGAATACATTTGTAGTATTCAAGTGATGATACTTCTCTATCCTCTTTTCCGTTCCTGTCCTCCTGCCCATGCAGCGTGAAAAACGCACCATCACATTCAGGATCACCTGAACACCAAAACACTGAGTGCACCAGCCCTGAACAGCATGATAGCGTTCCACTTAGCCTCCATTCCCCTTCCCACCACAGTGGATGGCCTGGTTGCTCGCTACAACACAGCTCTATCCCTCAGCCTTGACTCTAGCCCCCCTCAAAACCCGGACTGTCTCCTTTACCCGGTCTGCCCCTTGGTTCACCACTGAACTCCGCACCCTGAAGGCTTCTGGTCATCGGCTGGAGAGACTCCAATAAGAACTGGCCTCACCGTCCACCGTCAAGCCTATCAAGACCATGTGAAGTCCTACAAAGAAGCACTCTCCCGGACTAGGTCTTCATACTGCACCACCCTCATTGGCAACCAACATAACCAACCAAGAATGCTGTTCTCCACCATAAACTGGCTTCTCTGACTCCTCGACCCCCCATCCTCCAGGTGCTCTCGACCTCTGCTCGAAGTTCCTGGACTTCTTCCAGGCCAAAGTGGATTCCATCCACCAGCAGCTTCTGGTGCCTGCCCCCCCAATTCCAACATTAATTGGTTTAAATTGTGTACAATGCTTTCGTGTTTTTCCCCTTCGATTCGGAGAAACAAATAGGTTTATCGGAGTTTAGGATGGCCGAAGACACTACACTACCCATAATCCTCAGCTATCGTTTGGGACGACGCCAGTCCACTTTGCTCGACAAACCCTGTAGTTATCCACAAGCTCTGTGATTGGTTGACCTCCGACTTTATTCCATATGAAAAAAACGTTTCGTAAAAGATAAAATCATACTTTATTCAGCTAGTGCTTGTGCTAGTGCTTTGATTGTCATCACATGAGCATTGTAATAAATGGTTCGGCTGCATTCAATATTAAACATCTGCCCTAGTTCTTTATTGTTGTGCGTAGACGGCTCTGCTAAAGATTCTTCCCTAGTTTAGGTTTCATGTTCTGTGTTTAGATAGGTTCCTGTTTTATTTTGATAGTCTTGTCTACCCTCATGTGTCTAAAGTACGTTTCCTGCCTTGTCTGTTTTCCCACTGTTGTGATTGTCTAAATTGTCTTCACCTGGTGTTGTCTGTCTAGTATAGTTCTCGTTGCCAGATTGTCTTGTGTGTTCCAAGCATTCCAGCGTTAAGATCTTTTGTCATTGTCCTTAGAGTTATCGTCCATAGAGAGTTAGGTTAAGTAAGTAGTTTTTTGATAGTATAGGTTAGACAGTTTATTGAGTGTTTGTTTTGTTACTTTATGTATTCAGTGTGTTGTTACCTGATTACATTAAAACACTTTATTTTGATACTTTCTTTGTCTCTGCATCGTGCATTTGATTCCACGCCTTTGTACAGCCTTAACATGTATCTATCTACAGAGATTGGGCCTCAGAATAGACCGGAAACTGTATATTCTTTTACCTTTCTGTTTTAATTTTACAATAAAGTTAATAGTAATATTTTGCTTTATTTTTTTATTAACTAGACCGCTAGGTCATGTTAAGACCATCTTTTCTGTGTTGCTGTGGGTTTTTTCCATCGCTTTTGTGTTACAAATATTAAAACAATATATGTGTGGATAACAAAATACATCCGTCATAAACTAAACCGGAAACAGCAGCGTTCTCAGTATGTCAGAGTACAAAATTATCAATCATCTAACCTCTAGCTGTCCACAGGTGTCCCACAAGGGTCAATTCTGGGTCCATTGTTATTTTCATTGTATATAAACGACTTACCATCGATATGTCCTGACACAAACATCCAAATGTATGCTGATGATACTGTAATTTATGTTCACGGAGGCAGTCTGACACAAGTGGCTAATGAACTGACGAACAAGATGGTTCATGTAACAGCTTGGTTGGAGCAATGCTGTCTGCAACTAACTGTCAGTAAAACTGTATGTATGTTCTTCACCAAAACCAAGTCCTCCTGCGTTGAGCCAGATGTGGTTGTGTCCGGGGAGAGGCTGCAGGTGGTCTCACAGTACAAATACCTGGGGGTCTTAATTGTGTCAAGACTCAATTTTAAGGCTCAGGTGAAAAAGGTCTGCAACAGGGTCAAATTCAGGCATTTGAGGTTTACCAGAGACTGCATGTCAACAGAGGCGGCTCTGATGTACATGCACTCTATGGTTCTATCTCACATCACATACTGCTTAACAACCTGCTCACATGCCGTACAACCACTTTTAAACCCCTGGAATCATTATACAAACAAACACTTCAAATAGTAGATAAGAAATCAGTTTATTCTCATCATTGCCCAATAATCACAAAATATAACTTGTTGAGCTGGGAAAATGTAATGTTACGCCCAGGCCTAGGGAAACCTAGGCGCAACACAAAGTGTGCACTCTCCTCTTTTCCCACTCCCAAGAACATAGACAATGAGACAGTGAATGCCGTTTGGTAAATTTAATTACCAAAGTTTTCTTTTTAACAAATAAGTGCAACAACCCACAAAACAAACAAATCTCTGAACACAAAAATCTTGCCTAACAAATAAGAAAATAAACATACAGGACTCTTACCTACACTGACGTAAAAACAGGAGAAAACGAGAATCAACCAAAAGGAAAAGGGTTTCACACTTTCACGTAGACTTACGGCATGTCCAACAAGGACAGGTTAAAGTTATGTGTATCCTTTCAAGGTTTACAGAATATTCAAGGACAGATACAAATATGCAACGGTTGGGAGCAGGAGAAGCTGAGTCAGAGAGAGGGCAGAGTGACGGCATGGCTGCAGCTTAAATGCTCCCCTCTTCTTCAGGTGGACCAATCAGCCTGTTGAAGGTAGCTAATCAGCTAACGGGCACCACCTGCTTGCACACACACACACACACACACACACACACACACACACACACACACACACACACACACACAGACACAGGAGGAGGGAAAAATCTCTACACACAATACACATAACTGAGGTTACCTACTGTAACCCAGCTTCTATGAGTAAATGGCGCAGCCCTCTAAGGCTATCGCTATTGGGTTATCCCTCTGCGCCCCCGTGCAGCACTGAAACACTTGTAGTCCACGCCCACCCGCTAGGTGGGCCCCACCCTCGGCCTTCCTTCCGGTATAAATAGGAAGGAGGCCCGGCAATCTGCTCCCATACAAAATAACTTTTCTTCAGCTATTCGTAGAGCCAGTGGGGCCCAGCGCTTAGAGGGCTGCGCCATTTACTCATAGAAGCTGGGTTACAGTAGGTAACCTCAGTTCTATTTCGTATATGGCTTCGCCCTCTAAGGCTATCGCTATTGGGTTAAGGGCGAAGCATGATGTAGTCTGCGCCCCACTGGGTCCGCCCGGCACTAGAAGCACAGACACACCTGCTCAATCACACCCCCCTGCCTGTTGTGCCATGCGTAATGGCGCATCACCGTCCCTGGAACATAGCAAAACATGCCTATCTTCCCGACGGGGTGAAGGCTGGGAACAATACATACCGGCCGCTGTGAGAAAGTAGAGACGAAGGTCCCACCTTGTCCTGCGATCATAGAGGGGGAACAGCCGCTCTCTCCGTGTCAGACAGGTAGGAGATCGCACAGCTGGATCCCTGACGTCACTCACTCTGACCAGGCACTCCGTACGAAGTGTGTCAGAGGAAGGGGAATATCCCTCTCATACGAGGGAAAAAGGGCCGCTCTCCGCGTGCCGGGAGGCAGGAGAGAGGCGCACCGCTGGATACCTGACGTCACTCACTCCGACAGGACACCCAGTACAGGGTGCGTCAGAGAGGAATGGGAGACCTCCCTCAAATAAAATTGAATAAATGAACAGGGGGAAGACCAAGATGCAGCAGTGCAAATATCTTCCACTGACATTCCTCCGTGCAACGCCGTGGAGGAGGAAAGTCCTCTGGTGGAGTGCGCCTTGATACTCTCCGGGGGCTCCACCCCAGAGGAGACATATGCCTGTGACACAGCCTCACACAGCCAGTGTGACAGCCGTTGTGCAGACAGAGGTTGCCCGATCGAGCGCTCTCTATAGTGCACAAACAGGCGCTGAAAACGGCGCCAGGCCGCCGTGCGCGCCACATAGCAGGACAACGCGCGCACAGGACAGAGGAGATAAGACGTGGCTTCTTCCTCCGACCTGTAAGGAGGGGGGAATAAGCCAGCCAGGGTGATCACTCTTGACCTAAAAGAGTTGTGATGACCTTAGGCAAGAAGACGGTGTTTCTTGTATACCATGGAACTGCTGGGGGGAGAGGCTTCTCTGTGATGTGCCGTAATGGTCGTCATGGTGACGTGCCACGCCATCGCCGCCGCTGCCTGTGAGGCAAAAGGGCTGTGAGGGAGTTTCCACACGCTGCAATTCACTCCGTCTCTCATCATGAGGCGCGTACACGCCCAGAGGATGAGAGGTGTGTGTATGCTGTCCACACGAGGCGTTATAACGGTGCTCGT